TCACTGACCCGACCTTTGAGTCCTCTGCTGCGTCTGCTCTGGTCACTGAGTTGGTTGACTTTGCTGCTCGCTGTCGCCTAGACTACGCTGCCAGCCTTGTCGCTAGGTCTGAGTCTGCGTCTGCCTGTCCTCCGTCCGTCGGGGGTGAGTGTGCCCTCGGCACGGACGTCCTTGAGGACAGACAGGAGGAGTTCCACTGCCTTGCTGCTGCTTTGCCCCGTCTCGTGTCCTTGCTAGTTGCCCCTGAGGGAGACCCGGATGCACCAGACATCCCGACCCCACGCTCTTACGCTGAGGCGATGGCGGGTCCCTACTCCTCTCAGTGGCAGACAGCCATGGACGCAGAGATGGCTTCCTGGAAGTCCACAGGCACCTACGTAGACGAGGTTCCCCCTCCTGGGGCGAACATCGTCAGTGGCATGTGGATTTTCAGGGTGAAGCGGCCGCCGGGTTCTCCACCTGTCTTCAAGGCGCGCTACGTGGCTCGAGGCTTCAGTCAGCGAGAGGGAGTAGACTTCTTTCAGACCTTCTCCCCCACCCCGAAGATGACTACTCTTCGGGTGCTGCTGCACATAGCCGCTCACCGCGACTACGAGCTTCACTCTCTTGACTTCAGCACTGCTTTCTTGCAGGGCAGCCTGCACGAGGAGATCTGGCTGCGCCGCCCCCCTAGCTTGACTGGGTCAGTTCCTCCTGGCACCCAGTGGAGGCTTCAGCGGCCGGTCTACGGTCTCCGCTAGGCGCCACGTGAGTGGCACGACACACTGAGGACGACACTTGCGGCTCTTGGGTTCGCTCCCTCTACTGCTGACCCGTCGCTGTTTCTACGCACCGACACCTCGCTGCCGCCGTTCTACATCCTCGTGTACGTCGACGACTTGGTCTTTGCCACTGCTGACACCGCGGCACTCGCTCACGTGAAGTCGGAGCTGCAGAGGAGACACACGTGCACAGACCTGGGTGAGCTGACGAGCTATCTTGGCTTGCGGATCACCCGGGACAGAGCACGGCGCACCATCACCCTGACTCAGTCACACATGGTGCAGCAGGTTCTCCAGCGCTTCCGCTTCACGTACTCCTCGCCTCAGTCCACTCCTCTGCCTACCGGTCACTCGCTCTCAGCTCTGCCTTCGGATGAGTCCGTAGAGCCGAGTGGCCCGTATCCAGAGCTTGTGGGCTGCCTCATGTACCTGATGACCTGCACTCGACCTGACCTTGCATACCCTCTTAGCATCCTAGCACGCTATGTCGCTCCTGGCCGTCACCGGAAGGAGCACATGGATGCTGCTAAGAGGGTGTTGCGCTACTTGTGCAGTACGTCGGGCATGGGGCTTGTGCTTGGAGGGCGAGACCGGGTTGTTCTCACAGGGCACTCAGACGCTTCTTGGGCAGACGACCAGGCTACTCAGCGGTCGTCCCAGGGTTACACCTTCAGCCTTGGCTCTGGCTCAGTTTCTTGGCGTTCTACTCGCTCTTCTTCTGTTCTCAGCTCCAGTTGTGAGGCTGAGATCTACGCCACAGCCATGGCTGCTCAGGAGCTACGCTGGCTGACCTACCTGCTGACCGACCTCGGAGAGCGGCCTCGTTCTCCTCCAGTGCTGTACGTCGACAACAAGGCTGCCATTGCCTTGTGTGAGGAGCACAGACTGGAGCACAGAACGAAGCACATCGCTCTGCGGTACTTCCTTGCTCGAGAGCTGCAGCAGCGTGGTCAGCTTTGTCTGCGTTACGTGGCCACGGAGGCCAACACTGCTGATATGTTCACCAAGGCGCTTCAGCCTTGTGACCATCAGCGCTTTTGCACTCTACTAGGCCTTGTACCTACTGGGCCTCACTTGCTTACCTCTTGACCTTGCTTGTACTGTGATCACTATATATATATGCCTACTTGTTTACTTTTGCTAGGTTGTGATCACTGTATCTCTTGCTTTGTTATAAACCTACATGTGAACTGGTCTTGTGACCGCTTGCTTGTGCTCGGAATTTGTGTGGAATCCTTGAGATCCACCCTGAGCTTGCTTTGCTTTGCTTTGACTGGTCTTGTGACCCTGTGGTTGTCTCCCACTGCGCCTATGGGGGTGTGTCAAACATTGCATGTTTATATTGTCTAGGCTGTAGTGGGTTACACCTTAGGGGGTACACAAAGTTAGGGTTTCCTACTTGTACCAAACTCTGTTCTAGTTCATTCATTCCTGCTCAGTTATTTCTGACACCACACTCCCCCGCTACACACAGAGTGGACTCCAGATACTCGGGCTCGTCACCGCGGTCCACGGCGCCGCCATTCCTAAAGAGCCTGCAACGGTTCAGCAGGCTCTGGGGGGGGAACACAGGGAAAAATGGCGCGAAGCCATGGACAAGGAGCTGAAAGCGCTAGAAGAACGCAACACCTGGAAAATCGTTCCTATCGGTGTAGCACGAAACAAGACCATCCTCACCGGAAAATGGGTCTTCCGCGTGAAGACGAAAGCAGATGGCACCATCGACAAATTCAAGGCGCGCTGGGTCGTACGCGGCTTCGACCAAGAGCACGGACGCGACTTCACCGAAACCTTTGCTCCGGTCAGCCGACACACCTCACTACGCATTCTCCTCGCAATCGCCGCCATGAAGAAGAAAAAGCTACGACAAATCGACGTCGCAAACGCCTTTCTCTACGCACCTGTTGACGCAGAAATTTTTGTGGAGCTGCCGCACGGCTCCAACACAGATTCCACGCATGTCTGCCAGCTGCTCAAGTCGCTTTACGGAATCAAACAGGCCCCGCGACTATGGCAGCAATACCTGCACGCTCGTCTCATCCGCATCGGCTTCAAGCAACTCCCGCACGACCAAGGCATGTATCGACTCACTAAGAACAACGACTACGTCCTGTTAATCGTCTACGTGGACGATCTCCTCTACATCGGGTCAACCGACAGCATCGCAACCTGGTTCGAAGGGGAGCTGCAGAAAGACCTCACACTTACGGTCTCGTCTACCGTCACACAGTACCTCGGCCTCAACATCCGAGAAGAAGAAGATGCGATCTATCTCAGCGCCGAGAAATACGCCGACACTATCGCTAAACGCTTCGCTCTCACACCAGCCGCGATCTCAACACCATACCGCTACACGACAGGAACCGAGAAGGGACGATCCACTCTACTCAAACCAGCCGGCATACGCGACTATCAGAGGAAGCTCGGATGCCTCCTCTTCGCAGCCGTCACATGCCGTCCCGACCTCTCATACTCCGCAAGTCAACTCGCCACCTACCTCAAGAAGCCTGAAACAGAACATCTGGCGGAACTTGACCGCGCTCTTCACTACTTCATCAGCACCCCGACGATCGGCCTAACCTACCACAAGAACGCAGCTACACCAACTAAGCTAATCGGCTATGTCGACGCCGATCACGCCGGCGACTCCGACAACAGGCGCTCACGTACCGGCTACGCCTACCGCCTCGAACCTATCGGACCTATTTCCTGGCAGTCGAGCAAGCAGGAGTTAATCGCGCTATCATCAGCTGAGGCAGAATATATCGCACTCTGCTCAGCCACCAAGGAAGGCCTTTATCTCCGCGAGCTGCTGGAAGAAGCAAAGTTAGCTGAGTTACCCAACTTCACCCTGTTCTGCGACAACCAGTCTGCAATTCGCATCGCCAACAAGAACGGTTTCGCGAACAGGACGAAACACATCGCACTGCGCTACTTCTTCGTGAAGGACGAGATCGAGAAGGGGAGACTTCAGCTGTCATACTGTCCCACGTCCGAGATGGCAGCCGATTATTTGACCAAGAAACTCGGAAAGCAGAAATTCGAGTACTGCATGCTGCTGACTGGACAGAGCCACGTCATCAGCAACGACACTCCAGAAGCGAAGGGGAGTGTTGGAAATAGTGAATCTTAAGCGCTTCAGTCGTGTCGAAACATCGCACCAGAAGCGAAGCAAGCTGTATCGAAACAAACGCGAGTCAACCTTCGGAGGTTGAGAAGTTGCCGGAGGTTACGCGAAAGTCAAAGGTCAAGCGACCTTTGACCTGACAAATACAGCGCGACAGTTAAGGACACACAACTGACTCGTTACAGAGCAGTTGCCCGAGTCGTACTGTATCGAACCGCAACAGCAACAGTAAAGTAGTTACAAACTGCATCCTTTCATATTCCTTGTATTATTATATAATCTTGTACTTCCTTGCTATAATCAATCTACTTTGCCCTCATATACCAGCGCAAGGTGGTTCACAAACTTTGTTAAACGCTTCCGCTATTACAACACTATCCCACCCAGAGTTCTCCCTTGAAAAGATCCTAAGGGGCTATCTCAGCCCAACACACCTCAGACCAGCTTGGTACCGTAAGCAGGTTGCTCTCAAAAAACCTTTCCAGCAAATATCACTACCGTACGTTCGTTGTGCGCGCTTGATTTCCTTCCCACCATGTACTCTACCCCTTCTGCATGCACCTGCAAGAATCAACCCAAGTACACCAAGACCAGCACCCAACTCAACCCTAACCCTCTGCTAGCAAGCGGCTTGCCAGTCACGCAGCCTTCCCCTCCTCTCCCTCTCCTCCCTGCTTTGCACCTGCTCCTGCATTCGCCCCCTCACGTTGCTCCTCCCATCGGCCGCTTTCCTCTCATGGGGTAGAGGCAGCAGCAGCAGCAGCAGGTAGACAATTCAGAGAGGCACCTGGCAGGGCTGAGGCGGGGTCGGCAGCAGGCGATGGGTGAGCAGCAGTGGAAGGGGCTGGGGTGGTGCTGCTGGCAGGTGAAGAGAGACTGCAGCAGCATGGGTGAGCGGAGGTTGTGAGGCAGATGGGTGCGCACTTGCAGCTTGACAGGAGGAATGCGGGGGCGAGAGGGCCCACCAAACATTGCGCCTGCTGCCACCGCCACCCTGCTGCCCTACAGCCTGGCCCGCCTTCAGTCCCTCCCCGTGCCTTCTGTGGCTCGACTCGAGCATGACAGCCCTCCTCCTCTGCCTCCTCCCTGCCCTCCCTGCCCCACACGTCGCCTCATCTCTTCCCTGCTTCCCCCCCCTGTTCACCTGCACTGTCCCCCCGTCCCGCCCTGCCATTCAGCCGCCCTGCCTCACCACCTGGAGGCGTCTCCACCACAGCCTCCCTCACCCCCGCACTTGACTCTGCACCCTGCAACTCCACCCGCCCCTCCTGCCCTGACCCCTGTGCTGCACCTGCACTTATCCGCGCCCCATTCACTGCCACCCACTCCACACTACCACCCGCACCCCTGCGCTCATCTTCCCCTCCAGATTCAACCCACTTGCCCTGTGCGGCGCTGCTGCTGCTGCCCGCTTGGCCCCTTTGCCACTCACTCCCAACTACCCCTCCCATACTCCCCAATACCCTCTCACTCACTGCATCGGGGTAAGCACTCCGCACGGCGCCATTCCCTGCCCCTGCCTGCTCTGCCTCCGACTCTGCTCCTCGTACCTGCCCCCCTGCCTGCCCCCCATCACCGCCACGTCCTGGCATGGCGCCAGCTTGCGTCCAAGCAGCGCTGCCACTGCCACTCGCCCCACTGCGCCAGTCCCCCCCAGGCACTCCATGCGCCGCTCCCCCTTCCTGCGTGCCCTTGGGCCTGAGGGGCAGCGTGGGCGTCCTCTCAGCGCGGGCCACGGCGCGGCCTGCCTGCTCCAGCAGGCGCCGTGTCTCCAGCAGCGATGCCATGGCCGTGGCGTCCCGCGCTGCCAGCGCCTCCAGCGACTGCGCTGCACTCTGTGCCTCCTGCATCAGCACCCTGCCACACACACCACGGCACATGGATGGATGCGGGGAAAGAGAGGCATCAACACGCTGCCGCACGCATGCCCACAATCATGCACAGCATGAGGGGGCCAAGGCAAGAATTCAGGGATAGAGAGGCGAAATGGTTCAGGGTGACACAGCAAGGGCGCAACGGGGGGCCGGGGGTGGGAGGGCGCCAACAGGAAGCAGGGCGGGTGGAGGCAGGGAGAAAGCGGGGGCGTGCGGTGGCAGCAGGCAGCGGCGTACCTTGCCCTCTCCGCCAGCTGTCGGCGCCGCCTTGCTATGAGCTGGCGAGCTAGCCGCCTTTGGTTGGTGGTGGGTGCGAGTGGGAGCAGCGAGGGCACGGGTGCAGCAGAGGACGGCACATGATGATGCCTCACCGCCGCGCCATTGCCTGTCTCCCCTACCCCATGCATCGCACCACTCACACTGCCCTGCCCTGCACCACCATCACTCTCACTCCCCTCTTTCACCTGCCTGCGGTCCCCAGCACTGAACCGCCATCCACTCTGCGCACTCGCCTCCACTAGAGTCTTGATGTCCTCCACATCGCTCTCCACTTCCTCTTCCTCCCCTCCTTCTCCCTCCTCTTTCTCCTCCCTTTCCTCGTGCCCCTTGGCTTCCTCTCCCCCTTGCAAGCCACCTTCACCTAGCACACCCACACGCACAGCCACCTCTGTACTCTCCTCGACTCTCTCCTCGCCGTTCGCACCCCTCGCCTCTTCCTCCCCCGCACTACCGCCTGTCTGTCGCACGATGAGCACGCGCTTGAACCGCACGACCCCCCCATCCCCCTGCGCCTGCTCTGCGCTCTGCTGCGCTGCGCCCTGGCCGCCCTGCGCGCCCTGCGCCTGCGCGCTTTCCGCGGCCATCACGGCCTGCACGAACGCCTCGTCCGCCTGCGCCACCACCGCCTCCTCCGCACTGCGCCCCGCTGCTCCCTCCCCGCCCTCGCCTCCCCCCTCCGCCCCTTGCCCCCCCGCCGCTGCTGCTGCCACTGCCGTGTCCTTGGTCGTCTCTCTGCGCTCCCGCTCTCCCCCCCGCACTGCCCTGCGCGCTCTCGCCGCCCTGGGCGCGGCAGCAGGCGCGGGCGCAGGCGAAGTGGGGTGGGCGGGAGAGTGGGCGCGCTGCACGCTCTTCATGCCGCGCGCCACATTGCTGCGGTACGCCTGCGCGCACCCAGGGGGGAGGACGTGGGTGGGAGGGTGACGAGGAGCGGTGAGAAAGGTGGCAAGACAGTGGAGTGGGGGAACAAAACAAGAGCAACGCATGTGGTGAGGCGAGCTGCTGGCGGCACCAGCATTGCCATGGCCATGGCCAATGCCAATGTCATGGCGAAGCACCGCTACAGCATCCGTTATCCGCGCCACACTCACGGCCTCCTGCCTTGAGTCACTCACGGCCTCCTGCCTTGAGTCACTCACGGCCTCCTGCCTTGAGTCACTCACGGCCTCCTGCCTTGAGTCACTCACGGCCTCCTGCCTTGAGTCACTCACGGCCTCCTGCCTTGAGTCACTCACGGCCTCCTGCCTTGAGTCACTCACGGCCTCCTGCCTTGAGTCACTCACGGCCTCCTGCCTTGAGTCACTCACGGCCTCCTGCCTTGAGTCACTCACGGCCTCCTGCCTTGAGTCACTCACGGCCTCCTGCCTTGAGTCACTCACGGCCTCCTGCCTTGAGTCACTCACGGCCTCCTGCCTTGAGTCACTCACGGCCTCCTGCCTTGAGTCACTCACGGCCTCCTGCCTTGAGTCACTCACGGGGTCGGCCCACTTGGCTTTGATGGCTTCCGATATGCGCCGCCGGTGCTCCTCGCTCTGCCCCCCTCGCCTCACCGCACCCCGCTTCTCGCTGCTTGCACCGCTCCCCTCGCCCTCTCCCCGCGCCGCTTCCTCTCCCTCGCCCGCGCTCGTCCCGCCATCGCCACGGCCCTTGCCAATCGCCGCGGACCCACCCTCTCCGCGCTCTCGTGGCGGCGTGGGTGTGCGCGGCGCACGGCGCGCGCGCTTGGCGGTGGTGCGCGCGAGCACCTCGTCCGCGTACACCACGCGCCCGTTGCCGCACCGCACCAGCACGCGGTCGCCCGCCAGCCCCACCTGCGCGGCCGCCGCCAGCTCCCCCTGCCACTCCGCCAGCAGCGCCTGCGCCGCCAGGCGCTCCTGCTTCTTCCGCTGCCACGCCGCGCGCATGCGCTCGCGAATCAGCGACCGCGTCTCCGCGCTGCCAAGGGAGGGGGAGGACGGCGGCGCAAAGACGCACGGGAAGAGGGGGCAGGGAGACGCAGGGGACGAAGAGACGGCGGGGATCAATGATGGCGGGGGGGAAGCAGCGTTGCAGCACAGCACGGGGAAGCGAGCGCGCATCCGTGAAATGGCGGCGGCAGGGTGCGGCGTACCTTTGCGTATGGCCGTGGTCGCGAAGCCGCTCGCGCACCTGCCGCGCAGCAGAGGACATGTGGCAAGAACGGGTTAGGGTGGGGGATCGCCGGAGCAAGCACAAAAGAGGAGAGGCGAGTGCATTGTCCGTATTACAAGAGCAGCACTCGGCGAGATAGAGGCACGGCGCACGGGGGCAGCAAGGGTAACGCACCTCGGGGTTACTCATTGCTTGCTTCGTTCTCTCGCGAATCTTCGCACGAACCTCTGGGAAAGAGACAAGGGGGAAGCAAGGCCGCACTTTTAGCGTGGTACAAGGGCAATGCGGGGGACAAGCGCGAGGCGGCGGACAAGCGCGAGGCGGCGGACAAGCGCGAGGCGGCGGACAAGCGCGAGGCGGCGGACAAGAGCAAGGCGGAGGGGAGTGACAGGTGCGAATGTCCATGCGGTGGAATGGCTGCGCAACTCATGCGCCCACCAGGCCGCGCGCGATCTGCTTGCGCGCACCGGCGCGGAGAGCGCACGCACCTGCGCTCCACTGCCTGCCCTTGTTCCACGGCACTTTCCCCTTGTTTGCCTCGCTGATGCGCCCTCGCCTCCGCTTCTCCTTCTCCGCCTCGCTCTCCCCCGATTCCGCCGCGCCTGCTTGCCCCTCCGCCTGCCATCCCGCCCGCTGCTCGTCTCGCGCCTCATCCCCGCCGCCGCGCCACCCAGAGGCGCCCGCATCGTCCGCCCGCCAGAACCCTATCCCCTGGCCATTGCGTATGGCGCCATCCGCGCCCACGGCTTGCGTCTGCGCGCTGCCCTGCGTCCGCCACGCCTGCGCCAGCAGGTCAGCCCGCAGCGCCGCGGCGGTTATTCCCGGCGCACACCGCCGCCACTGTGGTGGCGGCCAGCCGAGGGCTGTGCGGCGTAACCGCGACGTCAAGGGCGCGCGCGGAGAAAATGCGCGTACTGCCACCTGCAGCCGGCAGCGGGCGCGAAGGCGATGCGCGGAATGCAGGGGAAAGCCCGACGCTCGCCGCGCGCTGTAGCCTGCGGCCAAGGCAAGGCGACGGGTGGATCCCCACGGCCCGCCTCGTGTGTGGCGGTCACTCTCCGCCGCTGCGGGCCGCGCCATCCACCCCTTGTGCTCGCCGCCACAGCCATGCGCCGCAGCGCGCAACGGCCCCGCAACCGCTGCGTTAGTCCCGCTCCACTCCTCGTGGGCGTGCGGCCGTCGGGTGGCGGTGCAACGCAGACAGCAGAGTGACAGCCTTGCGCGGTGGCGTGGCGGCGAGGATGTGAAAGAGACGCGGAGAGGACTGGCGGGTGGAGCCGCGAGCAGCGCGCCATGGCGGGAATGGCGCGGACATGGCGGCAGCACTACTGACGCCATGATCTCGCGCTACCTAGTGGCGCAACACATCAAGCGGCAGGGGGATATGGGCGCAGCTCCTCGCTCCAGCTAAGAGTCGGCGTGGAAACTACTATATTCTGCGACTACGTGGCAGGAGCACACGTGACAGCGCGGTGTTGGCTGTAACATCACGCTCCAGTTGTGGGCGAGGGTTTAGGGTTTCATCCCTCAAGCAACTCTGGTCCTGAAAATACGAAGCTAGGGAAAGAAATGCCGTGTCACGCGACCTAAGTTCTAGGTCGCCATGTTCGGGTAACACACCGAATGCGAAGCCGCACCTAGGCTTGTAAGGAATTTTTCGGATTCCTTACTGGGTCACTCCGTACGCGTACAACCCCGACTTTCGGAAAACCAGGCTCGGTCCGCCGACCTCGCCTTCCGAGCCACCACCGCGTCGCCTTCGGGTTTTCCAACCCCGAACCTGCACCCAACCATCTCGCGACCCCGCGACCTCGGCCTAGCTAGGACTTGCTATATTGTGCCTAGGCCTCGTTGTTCATGCAGACGTTGTAATCACTTCCGCATTATTGAGTTCTGCGCACTCTCTTCTTTCACAACTCATAACACTTGGTATCAGAGCCTAAAGTCCTAGGTTACCCTCGCGTTTCCGGGGTAGTTTGTAGAAGGGGAGCGATAGACTTGGTGGGCTGTTAAGCGGTCGGCCCGTGGAATAGATCCGATTATTCCACTCCGACTACGATAGCATTAACGCCTTCACCGAAGTCAGAAAAATCGCGAACCACCCCCTGCCCGTTAGACGAAGCCTGCGACACATGGACCAGGCGGAGTTCAACGAGTTCATGCAACAGTTACGGGAGATGCTGTCAAACATTGCATGTTTATATTGTCTAGGCTGTAGTGGGTTACACCTTAAGGGGTACACAAAGTTAGGGTTTACTACTTGTACCAAACTCTGTTCTAGTTCATTCATTCCTGCTCAGTTATTTCTGACATGGTTTCAGAGCAGGTCCTTCGCTAGGACTGTTCTTAGGGCCCACCGACTTACCTACCTGCTTACCTTCGCTTGTTTCCGGCCCCGCTGGCCCCGTCGATCTAGCACGATCTAGCGGCCCTGCGGCCCCGTCGAAATTTTTTTTCCTAGCGGCCTCTCACGGCCCCCGTCGCGTCGCCCCTTAGCGCCCCGATCGGCCCCGTCACGCCGCCCGCGAACCGCACAGCGCGCCGCGCTCACAGCCCGCGAACCGCCCGCGCACAGCCCGCGACCCGCCTGCGCAGCCCGCGACCAGCCCGCGCAGCCCGCGCACAGCCCGCGAACTGCCCGCGAGCAGCCCGCGACCTGCCCGCGAACCCCCGCGAGCCGCCCGCGACCCGCTTACGCAGCCCGCGAGCAGCCCGCGCAGCCCGCGCTGAGCCTGCGCGGCTCGTGCGCTGACCGCCGCCGGCCCGCACGCTGCCCGCACTGCTCCCGGCCCGCCGCTGCTGAGCCCGCAGCCGCCCGCGCACCGCCGCTGCTGAGCCCGCCGCCGCCCGCGCACCGCCGCTGCTGAGCCCGCCGCCGCCCGCGCACCGCCGCTGCTGCGCCCGCTGCCGCCCGCGTATCACCGCTGCTGAGCCCGCCCCTGCTGCGCCGGCTCTCGCTGCCGCCTGCTGCGCCTGTGCACCACTGCAGATCCTACTACTACACTTCCTGCTACTGCTGCTTGTGCGCCACTACAGTCCGTAGGCCCCACCGGCCCTGCTGACCCTGCGCACGCCTGTTCAGTGACTTTACTGCTTCTACTACTGCCGCTGTCGCTATGGCTAGTCCTCCTGTTCTAGCTTTCGACGCCGAGGGCCGTCCGGTCAAATTCGAAACCTGGCTAGATGATCTGCACCTTTTCCTACAGCTCACTGCCAAGGAAGATATTACACTGTACGACCACGCTCTCGGCCATGCGACCGCCCCACTCGCTACTGCCCCCCCAGCTGAGCGCTCACAGTGGCAGACCCGTGACGCGCACGCTCGCTTTGCTATTCGCAACTCCCTGCCGCTAGATGAGCGCGAGCACTTCGGCCAGTGCAAGACTGCTAAGGACCTCTACACAGCTGTAGTGGCCCGCTACTCCTCACCCGCTTCTGCCACACTAGGCCGCCTCACTCTCCCCTACCTGTTCCCCGACCTAGCCTCTTTTCACACTGTCGCAGACCTCATCACCCACCTTAAGACTAGTGAGGCTCGCTTTCGCGCTGCCATGCCTGATGAGTTCCTCGCTAGCAACCCCCCCCCGCTCTGGATCACTCTCTACCACGTTGTCACCCGCCTCCCTGACTCTCTGCGCCCTGTCAGGGACCAGTTCCTCTCTCGCTCCCCCACTGAGCTCACCATAGCCCTCCTCGAGAAGGAACTGCTTGCAGCCGAGGCTAGTATCGTCGCTGTAGGCACCTCTCGTGGCGACCCCCGCGGCCCCTTCTTCGAGGGGTGCTCCCCTTCCCCCCTCCTCCCCTCTGTCGCCTCTGCTGCTGCTGTCGACCTCCTTGGTGCTGAGAAGGTCGGGGCTGCGTCTGCTTCAGGCGGACGACGCAGGGGCAGGAGTGGCAGGAGTGGGGGTGGTGGCGGAGGAGGCGGGGGTGGAGGTGGTGGCGGTGGAGGTGCGACTGGAGAGGCTAGTGGCGGCGGTGGTGGAGGTGACAGCGGTGTTGGGAGTGGTGACAGGGGCGGAGGTGGCAGCGGAGGCGGAGGTGGTCGTGGCAGCGGCAGGGGTGGAGGTGGCCGGGGCGGAGGCGGAGGGGGTGGTGGTCGTGGAGGCCCGGGGGGCGGTCAGAGTCAGCAGCCTGCCCCGACCCTTCAGGCCGCCCGTAGGTGGTATGCGCGGCGCAGCGTCACCTGCCAGTACGTTATTCGTACAGGTGACCGCACTGGCCAGACGTGTGGGGGGCCGCACCAGACGGAGCGCTGCTTCGCCCGCCTCAACGATGCGTGGCGCACTCAGTTTCCTGGTGGGGGTGAGCTGCCGCGCTGGGCTGATCTGCTCAGGAAGGGTGTTGATATTTGGGCACTTGACTTTGATGCTATTCTCACTGCCATGTATGCGATGTCTATTAGTGGAGAGGGTGCTCAGTACTTGCGTGTTCCGCCCGACCCGGGCATTCAGGCCAGCCCTGCTGCTGCTCTAGGTGCTAGTGTGTCTGCTTCCACAGGTACTACTGCAGCTGCTGCTCTAGGTGCTTCTGCGTCTGTGCCCCCTGGTACTGAGTCTACTGCAGCACTGCACACCTTCACACTTGACTCAGGTGCTTCTCGCTCTTTCTTTCGTGACCGCACTGTCCTTGAGCCTCTAGCTCGGCCGGTTGCTGTCTCTCTTGCTGACCCCTCTGGGGGTCCGGTCCTTGCGACCTCCTCCACCACCCTTCCGTGTCCAGCGGTTCCGTCCGGCAAGCTCTCAGGTCTCTACCTCCCCTCGTTCTCCACGAACTTGGTGGCAGGTAGTGCGCTCCAGGACTCGGGTGTTCACCAGTTCACCCCTGCCTACGAGCGTGTGACTCACTGCACGTGTGCTCGGACGGGCCGCCACCTGGCTACTTTCACTCGAGAGCCGGGGTCTGACCTGTACACACTGACCACTGAGTCCCCTCAGGTAGCTGCGTCTGCGTCAGCGTCAGGTCAGCTGTCCGCCCCCTGCTCGTGTCGCTCTCTGGCGAACGACACCGTCCTCTGGCACCACCGCCTTGGTCACCCGTCTGTGCAGCGCCTGCGGGCCATGCACAAACGGGACCTTGTTGCTGGTCTTCCCAGGGTGCTCCCTCCCCTTCCTGACTCCCCTGCTCCTGACTGCATTCCCTGTGTCGAGGGGCGGCAGCGCGCCGCTCCTCACTCCTCCTCCTTTCCCCCGACGACCGCTCCCCTGCAGACGCTCCACATGGACGTGTGGGGCCCAGCCCGCGTCCGTGGTCAGGGTCAGGAGAGGTACTTCCTGATAGTTGTTGACGACTACTCGCGCTACACCACGGTCTTCCCCTTGCGCGCCAAGGGTGACGTCCCTGGTGTTTTGATCCCCTGGATCAGCCGAGCCCGTCTCCAGCTAGGCGAGCGCTTTCACTCGGACTTTCCTGTCCTGCGCTTGCACTCTGACAGGGGTGGTGAGTTCGCCTCCGACCTCTTGGCAGCCTACTGTGCTGAGCACGGCATTGAGCAGTCGTACACGCTTCCGGCCTCTCCACAGCAGAATGGGGTTGCTGAGCGCCGCATTGGCTTAGTCATGGAGGTCGCTCGTACCTCCCTGACCCATGCGGCTGCTCCCCACTTTCTGTGGCCGTTTGCAGTCCGGTACGCAGCGCATCAGCTCAACCTCTGGCCCCGTGTCTCCTTGCCGGAGACTTCCCCGACTCTACGGTGGACGGGAGAGGTTGGCGATGCGTCGCGTTTCCGGGTCTGGGGATCTCGAGCTTTTGTCCGCGACACGTCTGCGGACAAGCTCTCGCGTCGCGCTGTTCCCTGTGTCTTTCTTGGCTTTGTTCCCGACGCGCCTGGATGGCAGTTTTACCACGTCACCTCGCGCCGGGTTCTGGCCTCTCAGGACGTCACTTTTGACGAGTCCGTCCCCTTCTACCGCCTCTTCCCCTACCGCACTGCCCCGCTCCCCCCCCCCGCCTCTCTTCCTCGCTCCAGGTGCTGAGGTACCAGACCCCCTCCCCCCTCAGGGTGCCGCTCCCTCAGGTGTGTCCCAGGTAGACCCGGGTGAGCCTGTCGAGGTAGCTGTTGACTCGCGTGCTGAGCCTGGAGGTGCGGAGCCTGGGGGTGCTGAGCCTGGAGGTGCGGAGCCTGGGGGTGCTGAGCCTGGAGGTGCGGAGCCTGGGGGTGCTGAGCCTGGAGGTGCGGAGCCTGGAGGTACTGAGCCTGGAGGTGCGGAGCCTGGGGGTGCTGAGCCTGGAGGTGCGGAGCCTGGAGGTGCGGAGCCTGGTGGTGCTGAGTTTGGACGTGCTGAGTCTGGGGGTGCTGAGTCTGGGGGTACTCCATCTGGAGGAGCCCTCTCCTCCCAGCA